TAGTTGCCTCTCTTGTGAGTTACTTTGCTCAAAAGTGTGCATGCGCGGCCATGTGTGTGTACACAAAAGTATATATACTACAGACACGATGCTTGTTGTGTAGTTACTCACAAGAGAGAGGCAACTATGATTTTCTTTCTTACTTCCTTCCGACATGTTTTTCTATCGGGAAACAAAGGCATTCCCCTTCCATTTATATATGTTCTAAGATCGTACATTTATTTTACGAGTATATTGATGAGTATATAGCAAATTCATTATGGTGTCGAGTTGCTGCATTTGCAAATTAACTCAAGGAGTAGTCGCAAATATATCTTTTCATAGGTACGTAAATAATATAAATATTAGCATGCGTATAGTAATCTGAATTGAGGTTACGAAATATAAAATTAATGATAAACTCATTTTAATACTTAATTAAGATAATAATAGAGTCATTTAATAAAATAGAATATTTACAGTAAATTAGAAAAATTATTTGTATTCAAACAATATATTTTATGTTGAAATGTTGAAAGTATTGTTTAAAAAAGTTTAACAAAGAAGCTATATTGATATCACATTTACACATTGTATCTTTTTATTATTCGTTTACAATTTTACAATTATACATTTGTACTTATAACAATATATAATACATACGCATATGTAACAGTTATTCAATTTTGTAAATTAAATTTTCGTATGTTTTTCAGCATCCCAAAAAACGAAACAGGAAGACAGAAATGGTGTAGTGCTATAGGTCGAGAAATAACTAAGAGGAGTTTTGTTTGTAGTAAGCATTTTAAAGAAAGTGATTTTCATTATAAAGTAATTGGTGACACTGTACGGAGGTTCTTATTACCTGGTACTATTCCATCATTATTACTTAGTCAACATTGTGATAGGTAAATATTTTATGCATTTGTACACTTAAAGAAGAATAATTTTTATTAATCTATGAAGTTGTGTATTATCATAATACTTCTTACTCTTGCAGAGAGAGTGCTAGTATCGAAAAATAAAATAATGAAATATTACGAACCAATGTTAATACATGTAAAGCTAATCAAAACGAAAATAAAATAACAAATGATATATCTGCAATATTTAAAGAAAATATTGCAAATAGTGAACAAATAATGTCGCTCGAGAGTTCACTTGATTTAGACAGGTACACTAAAATATTTACTAAGTACATGAATCATTTTTAATTCAATCTTTATTAACAAAACAAAATATTTATATTTGATATTTAGTGACAAATATGTTCAAGAAGCAATAACACCTATTGAATCAGAAAAGGAATTATTGGAGAACGACAGAAAAAAATTTTGCTCATTGAAAAGGTTAGTTTAAAAAAGAAAATGTTTTTTGTTGGATTATAAGTTGTTATAAAACATTATACAATGTGTAAAAATCCGTAAATATTTAATATTTTTATACTTAATCAATCAATCATATTTTTATTTGTAGAAAAAGTGTTGAGCCATTAACAGGCTCAAAAAGATTTTGCAATCCACGTTTCATTGGAGATCTTCACCGTGAAGATTTTATTTCTGATGCAAGTTATAATATAGTGAAAAATTATTATCAGGAATCAAAGAAAAAATTAAATACAATGAATCGACAAATTAATCGATTAACAAAAAGAATGGGAAGCTTTCAAGAATTATTAACTCACCTCAAGGATATTGGATTATCTAAAGAAGCCTTAAATGCTATACAGGTAAGCTCGAACCCATACAGAACACAACATCCAATAGATATCTAGTGAATATCTATATATCTATCTGATGTCCATATCTACCATGGATAGCTAATAGATATCTAATAGATGAACAAAATATCTATATCTCTCGAATGACTACCGAAGATATCCACTAGATATCCACGTGAAATCCACATATCCATGTCCACCAAACAGCTACCGAAGATATCCACTAGATATCCACGTGAAATCCACATATCCATGTCCACCAAACAGCTACCGAAGATATCCACTAGATATCCACGTGAAATCCACATATCCATGTCCACCACACAGCTACCGAAGATATCCACTAGATATCCACGTGAAATCCACATATCCATGTCCACCACACAGCTACCGAAGATATCCACTAGATATCCACGTGAAATCCACATATCCATGTCCACCACACAGCTACCGAAGATATCCACTAGATATCCACGTGAAATCCACATATCCATGTCCACCACACAGCTACCGAAGATATCCACTAGATATCCACGTGAAATCCACATATCCATGTCCACCACACAGCTACCGAAGATATCCACTAGATATCCACGTGAAATCCACATATCCATGTCCACCACACAGCTACCGAAGATATCCACTAGATATCCACGTGAAATCCACATATCCATGTCCACCACACAGCTACCGAAGATATCCACTAGATATCCACGTGAAATCCACATATCCATGTCCACCACACAGCTACCGAAGATATCCACTAGATATCCACGTGAAATCCACATATCCATGTCCACCACACAGCTACCGAAGATATCCACTAGATATCCACGTGAAATCCACATATCCATGTCCACCACACAGCTACCGAAGATATCCACTAGATATCCACGTGAAATCCACATATCCATGTCCACCACACAGCTACCGAAGATATCCACTAGATATCCACGTGAAATCCACATATCCATGTCCACCACACAGCTACCGAAGATATCCACTAGATATCCACGTGAAATCCACATATCCATGTCCACCACACAGCTACCGAAGATATCCACTAGATATCCACGTGAAATCCACATATCCATGTCCACCACACAGCTACCGAAGATATCCACTAGATATCCAAGTGAAATCCACATATCCATGTCCACCACACAGCTACCGAAGATATCTATAACGCTTAATAAAGGAGTTATTATTGAGTAAAGTCTGATCAATCAGTGCTGACTTTTAGCTGGACGCACGTCAGTGAGCCGCCCGTCTGTTAGTATGCGTCGCCGTAGCGACGGAACGCTCACGCACACTACGAGGCGCGCGGCTAAAGGTCGACGCTGATTGGTCAGACTTTACTCAATAATAACTCCTTTATTAACCGTTATAGAAAAAAATGTTACAGGACTTTTCTGTTCAGTTTACTGTGCTCTACTTGCTCACGAGCGTTGTCAAGGGTGCTTTGGGACACCCTATATATGTAGATAGAATTTACTTATAAATAAGATTTGTAAATATACAAAAGCAAATTACTTTATTAATTATAACTATATTATTATTAACAAAGAATTGTATCAACATATATTGAATTACACTTAATAAATTAGAATCTTTATAAACAACAGTTGATTTAAAAAAAGTAAATTATTTACTATTTATGTTAAGAGTTCTTCTCCTTCGATTACTTCATTTAAATTAACTAATTCTAATAAAGCAGTACCCTTTGTTTCTGATCGTATCAATTCATCTATTCCTCTATATTGACCTGGATCAATTAAGCAAATTATTGTTAATGATCTATTGTCCCATGTCTCATTTTCCAATTTAGTTATTAATTTAGTGACTTTGTCTTTCAATTTTCTTGCTTCTTTTTCTGGGATAACAATCCTAAGCCGCATTTGGGCACGTTCCAGAGGCATCACTTCTTTCAATTGCGAGATGACATCTAGTGCCTGTTGTTTGGCATTCCGATTAGGTTTAACGGAAAAATGTATTTCCTCTCTCATGGCATTCTCGATCATGGAAACTGGATATGGGTGTTTAGTTTCTGGATTTATACATTTGCTAGCAACTGTTGTGGCAATATCTTTGAACATGGAATCTAAAGCTGAATGCCTTTCTTTATCAGAAACTTGGAGCTCACCTTTGGCAAGAATCTGTTGGCATATTTCAGTCTGATTGTCAATGCCAAAAGCTTTTATGAGATCTTCCTTCTTTGCCACCTGACCCTTTGATACATTAGTGAATATTGTATGCGTTTGCAGTACTTCATCAATATCTTTTTCTCTAAAATATATTTCAGAAAGAAATAATAAACAATGCATATCACATTTATTTCTGCATGATAAAAAAGATCTTAGATAATAAAAGATACTCTGGTTAGAGCTGGTAAAAGCAGCTGGTTAGAGATAAGTGATGTGCTATGACTTATTTGAATAGATATTGACTTAATAGACATTAATGGAAAGATATCAGAATGTAAACTAATATAACAGATAAAAAACAGAGAAGATAATGAAATAAGATAGTCTCGCAGATAAAATTGTTAAGATTATAAGTAACACGTGATAATATAAATCTTATGACAATGTGTATTCTTATGTGTACATGTGAGAAGAGAAATTATATAAATGACGTTACATATGTATAGATAGATAGAAATATCTTTATCAGCCGCAATCTATTTATTGATACACAAAGACTTACAATTTATTTCTCCAGGATATTACTTTATTCTTGTAACCAATAATTTCAAATCGCTTGCCACCTTTCTTCATGCGAACGACAGCAACGTTCGTCAGTCTTATTTGATTCGTCGGTGTAAATATCGACATTTTTGCACTTGTACACTTAAAGAAGAATAATTTTTATTAATCTATGAAGTTGTGTATTATCATAATACTTCTTACTCTTGCAGAGAGAGTGCTAGTATCGAAAAATAAAATAATGAAATATTACGAACCAATGTTAATACATGTAAAGCTAATCAAAACGAAGAAAATAAAATAACAAATGATATATCTATATCACAGTCGTTACCCAGAGAGAAACGTGAAGTCGAATAGATGTATAGTCGACGTCTATTCGACACATCTAAGATAGATCGACTTTCGCATCTAGATAGACGTCATGATGGCCTCTTTTAGACGTTTAATAAACATCTCATTTTCTAACGTTTTTTCGACGTCAAAAATAAGACCAATTACAGTGTTAATATCACAGTTATCTATACTACTACTAGATCGCTAACTTCGTCAAAAGAGCTGTGGCCGGCCAGATTTCCGGATTCGGCCATGACACCTTACAACAAAATGGCGGCGGGGCGTGTGTAATGCGCATCATAGACATAGTATATCTAGACCGAGTGTTGAGGAGTGGGGGCTAAGGTGCACGTAGAAAAGAACATATACTCTGTTCCGTGCCCTTGCGTTCTCTCTCACTTGCATGTAGCATAGCGAAAGAATACGCTATGCTACGTGCGAGCGAGAGAGAACGCAAGGGGCACGAAACAGAGTATGTCCTTTTCTACGTGCACCTCGGCTCCCACTCCTCAACACTCGGTCTAGATATACTATGTCTATGATATATATCTTTTTATATATTAATCCTGCATATATAAAATATACGAACCATACGAACCAATGTTAATACATGTAAAGCTAATCAAAACGAAGAAAATAAAATAACAAATGATATATCTACAATATTTAAAGAAAATATTGCAAATAGTGAACAAATAATGTCGCTCGAGAGTTCACTTGATTTGGACAGGTACACTAAAATATTTACTAAGTACATGAATTATTTTTAATTCAATCTTTATTAACAAAACAAAATATTTATATTTGATATTTAGTGACAAATATGTTCAAGAAGCAATAACACCTATTGAATCAGAAAAGGAATTATTGGAGAACGACAGAAAAAAATTTTGCTCATTGAAAAGGTTAGTTTAAAAAAGAAAATGTTTTTTGTTGGATTATAAGTTGTTATAAAACATTATACAATGTGTAAAAATCCGTAAATATTTAATATTTTTATACTTAATCAATCAATCATATTTTTATTTGTAGAAAAAGTGTTGAGCCATTAACAGGCTCAAAAAGATTTTGCAATCCACGTTTCATTGGAGATCTTCACCGTGAAGATTTTATTTCTGATGCAAGTTATAATATAGTGAAAAATTATTATCAGGAATCAAAGAAAAAATTAAATACAATGAATCGACAAATTAATCGATTAACAAAAAGAATGGGAAGCTTTCAAGAATTATTAACTCACCTCAAGGATATTGGATTATCTAAAGAAGCCTTAAATGCTATACAGGTAAGCTCGAACCCATACAGAACACAACATCCAATAGATATCTAGTGAATATCTATATATCTTATTTACTTAATTTTAGAAACTTATTTAAATTAAGAATTAAAATAACATAATCTTAGACGCGAATTTTTACTATACAAAATCAAATTTCAATACACGTTTTGCATTGCTTTTTTGACTTTTAAGTATAGCTTTTTTGAGTGTAGCTTAGACCACTGAATCAAGTATGATCTTAAAAGTCATTTTCATTCTCTTTAAAAATAATATCATTTTAAACTGAAGGTATTTGATTTAATATTCTAGTTAAAATAAGTTATAAATAAGCTAAAAATTGAAATAACACTAATTTTAAAGAAATTGAGATCTTATAGTTCAAAATGTATTCATTGGTCTGAGCTATATCCAAAAATGCATTTTGGTATAGTTCAATAGGCGGTTCACTGAAAATTATATGCTACAAACTCACAAAATTCTAACACTAAATTAACATGTTTTTTCACAAATAAATAAATCTACTAAAATACTTAAAAGTAAATTATTTACTACAAAAAATTTCTTAAGTTAAAACTAAATGCAAGCTATATAAAATTATACTACGATTAAAAATTTTGTAAAAATTTTAGTTAGCATAGTTCATCTATAGGTATTTTTTCAATATTTAATTCTTCAAATATGCATAACTACGAATAATGGAGTTAATTATTATTGTTAAGAAGTTGAACAAAGAAGAACGATATTGTCAATATTTCTTATTATTATTGCACATCAGAATAAACACCGATTCATTGTATAATTAATATTTTTTATGTGCACACGAATATTTTATATTATTATAAATAAATCCGTTTATAGATTTGTAATTATTCTTTTTTTACAGTTATTTTAATTAAATAAAACAATGAATGATGTTCACGATTTATTATAAAAATGTTTTTTATATATTTAGCAATCAGTAATACATATTTCATACCTATATTTTATCATTTTTACCTTTTTCAACATTATTTGAGTTTTCATGTTTCTCAATAAAATGTCCGGATGGATGTGTGTGTGTGTGTGTGTGTGTGTGTGTGTGTGTGTGTG